TGATTAACACACACATCTGAAAGGGTTTCTGGACTCTTATTGCTCCTACCTTTTCTACTTCCCTTGTATCTGTTTCTTGCTGAACAGAGAATCATAAAAACATTGTTTGGAAAGGACCCTGGAAATGGTTTTGTCCAAGCTCCCTTTCAGAGGATCATCATCGCTGCTTTGGTTTTGTATGAGCTGTGAAAATCTGAACAAAGGGAGGCACAAAACATGGCAAAGTGTATAGAAAAACCCAGGTCTCAAAGGATGAGTCCTGGAACTGTGGGCTACTGAGGATTTCATTTAGATTGTGGATTTCAAAGGATTACAGGACCAGATTTCATAGACCTGTTTCCCTTTTTGCCTGTGCTGCATCTGCTTCTCCTCCTTCTTCATCTATTCTGACTGAAGGATTTGGTCATTAATTGTCATTAATTCATGACTAAACTTACAGCAGATTATGCTGTATGAAGGCACATAAGTGCCAGACAAACACATCAGGCTCTGCATGCCCTGAGCAGGGCAAACCAACCATGACCATAATAATGCAGGTGTCATCAGCAAAGACTGCTGATCTTAGAAAAAACCTACTTTGACAGGCTTGGGAGTGTATCTAAACTGACTTGATAGGAGCTGACTGCCACAGGGTGATTCTTGTCCTCTGACTTTGAGTAATGCAAGCTGAGCCTGTCTAAAATCTCCATTAGGGAAGCACAGGGCTCCTGCTAATTCCTGCAGACACCTGGCTCTGTGTGGATTGTCACACACAGCTCTTGCAGGAGTTGTTTATGCTGCAGCAAAGAGAGCATTAGAGAGTTCCTAATGTGAATTAAGTGCTAGCACAGCATGGATGAAGGGGTGAGTTACTCACAGAGCTGACTGAATATGTTGATTAACTTGCAGTGATCAAATTCTCCCTTGGTATTTCAGGTCTAGTACCTGCTCTGTACTAAGGAATTGGAAACATTTTTTTTTACTATGGGCCTCATTTCTGTTGCAAATCCTGCAAATCCTGTGGTTATTTTGCAAGATTGACACCATGCAGTAATTGCAAACATCTAGAGAGGTCCTGTCACTATCACTGCCCCATTTTTAACCCTCTGTAGTCACACTGCTAGTAAAGGCAAAGCTTTTTATCATATCCTGCCCACTTTTGATTGTGAAGTTGTTGCAGACATTTTTCCACAGAAATCCTTTCTTTCAGATTTCTGCATGTTCTGGGAAGCTGAGGGCCCCCAGAAAGAGAATGTAAACAATTGTTATCAGCTGCTGTGGAATGCAATAGGATTCACCTTGATTGGCTCATGTTCTATGTTTATAATTAACGGCCAATCACGGGTGCAAGCCAGGGGACTGAGTCCTTGGACACAACTTTGTTATAGATTCTTTCTTTTCTATTCTTAGCTTAGCTAGCAGCCTCTGCAAACTTCGCTCTTTATTCTATTTAGTATAATGTATTATATATCATATATCAATAAATCCAGCCTTCTGATTGAGAAACAAGATTCACCGTCTCTCACCACCAGCGACCCGCTCAGGACGCTGTAATATGATCAAACAAAATGTGGTTTCTGATGGAGTTGGTTTTTGACTGTATTTGCTTTCAGACACATTATGGGGACATAACCTCATGACTAACATGTTCACCCATATTTCATGGCCATGACTATTACCACACAGACAGAATGAGCCAGGGTTCCTACAGTGCTGATGTTCAGCATTGGTAGGCTTGCATGTTGTACTTGTCTGATCAATGTGTACCAGAAAGATGAAGCCATAGATCCAGGCTTTACATTTAGATGGAATGGAAACTGGTTCATTTTCCTAAAACAGGCTTATACATGTTTCTTTTATTTCAATTTATCCTGCCTTTTTCTAACTGGAACAGAAGGCATTTCTCAGCCCCCGTGGCTGCATGGAATGTAGGAGAGGACCAAATTATACACTCAGCCCAAGAGATCCAGGCATAGCTTTGAGATTTCAGCCATGCTCCAAGGAGAGTGCAAAGCTGTGTGGTGCTCATGAACTAGATATAGCTCCATTTATATCTCTCCTTCTTTTCACAGAATCATTAAAATTGGAGAGGGGCCTCCAAGATCATCAGGTCCAACCTTTGACCAAACACCACTGTGCCAACTAAACCACAGCACTAGGTGTCACATCAAGTCGTTTCTTGAACATTTATAGGGATGGTGAAATGTTGTGCAGAGAGAAAATTAGGAAGGCAAAAGTTCAGCTAGAATTCAATCTGGCCACTGCTGTTAAAGAAGATAAAAAGTGTTTTTATAAATGTACTGCCAACAAAAGAGGGACAGGAAAATCTCCATCCTTTTTGGGATGTGGAGGGGAACATTATCATCACAGATGAGGAAAAGGCTGCTTTCTTTGCCTGAGTCTTTAAGAATAATTATCCTCAGGGCAACCAGCCCCCTGAGCTGGCAGACAGGGACAGAGAGCAGAATAGGTCCCCACAATCCAGGGGGACCAATCAGACTCACAAATCCACGGGGCTGGATGGGATTCACCCAAGTGTAGGGGGATAGAACATAAGTAAATAAAGGTAATATAGAAAGTAATCTTATCCCCTAAAGAGTTGCAGCTGAGCCAATTACTAAAGATTAGGAGCAGGCCCGATGTTAACAGGCCACACCTGTAGCCAATAAGAACAGTGCTATAAAAGAGTGGATTGGTTGGCTGGGGGGCACTGCAGTCAGTTGGTTGCTGTGAGGACAAGGAAGAGTCAGTGTTTAGAGGAGCTGTCTATGAGAAATATCAAAGAGGTATGAAACTTTAGCAATATGGAACTCTTGCAATATATGATAACAAATGGGGACTCTAATGTGATTTGGGATTAAACTATATGACCCTGTGGATTCGGGGAAAAGGACTTGAATACTAAATTATTGTTAAAATATATCAATTGCAGCTATTAGTGTTTGTTAAATATGAGTGTAAAAGACTTTGAAGATAAGTGCTTTGTAAACTGAGAACAGCTGCAAAACTGAACCAACACTCAGATATATATATATTTATACTATAATATGTTGTCTGAACATTTGTGTAACTCTTACTTCTAAATGGAATATACAAATGTGTAAATGTTAATTTATTTGAACATGTCCTTCTAGAAATGCTGCAACTCTGTAATTAAAAGAAAGAGGGGGAATTGTAGGGGGATAGAACATAAGTAAATAAAGGTAGTATAGAAAGTAATCTTGCCCCCTAAAGAGTTGCAGCTGAGCCAATTATTAAGGATTAGTAGCAGGCCTGATTTTATCAGGCCACAGCTGTAGCCAGTCAAAGAGTGTTACAAAAGAGTGGGTTGGTTGGTTGGTGGGAACTGGAGTCAGTTGGCTGCTGTGAGGACAAGGAAGAGTCAGTGCTTAGAGGAGCTGCCTACAAGAAATATCAAAGAGGTATGAAACTCTAGCAATATGGAACCCATGTAATGTAATAGAACTCTTGCACTATAAGACAATACCCAAGGGTACTGAGGGAACTGGAAGAGCAAAACAATTTCTAGTTATTACTAAGCATATATGACAATTACTTGCATGTATGACAATTATGCTTAGGTGCTTTATATACTATATGGAAAATATAGGACTTTGATGGATACATTCTCATGAGTTCTTCCCCATCCCCACCAGAGAAAGGAAACTCACCAAGTATTTATTTTTATTCTAAACTTTGAAATATTTTCGGTCCTGGGGAAAAAAAACCCAAACAAACCCCACCAAAACTCCCCAAAAACTAACCCTGAAAATCCATCTCATTAAACAAACCTGATTTTTGATGTGGAATATTTGGAAGAGACTTCTGCCGATTTCTCCTGTACTTTCATTTTATCATATAGCCAATGCTTAATTACAGAAGATGCATTTATTTGGCAGCAAGAAGCTTGTGGTGGTCACAGCCTGGTTTACATACCAGACTCTGTGTGCAGTTGCTGTGATACACCACAAGAATTCTATTTTGAGGTCTGTACTCATGGTTGACTCAAAAGACCAAAGCTCTGTTGAGTTGGCCATTATATTCTTTTCACCAACAATTAATTTGGTCTTGCAACCACTGAAAAATCTTCAGGGTCATGAGCTTATTTCAAGCTCATAAATGGAACAAAACTCCACATCCCAGTTGAATTTGAGTCTTTGACCTGCTCTGATTCTTTTCTTCTGTTCTTCTGAAATAATCACTGTAATGGAAGCAGAGCTGCTCTGGAGCAATAAATTATAAATGTTGTGCTTGAGGCTGCTGGTTGGGATGTGATTGAATAGATAATTTACAGATGACTATTGAACAAAGAGCCTCTGGTGGCTCAAAATAACCCATTTCTTTGTAAACTCTTGAAAGCAAGGGAAAGATAATGCCAAAACCCTCTCTTTTAAGGCCAAGGTAAGCACACAGAGTAATAAAAGCTCTGGCTGTGGAAATGAGCTGCTCCCTCTGGGTGGAAATGAGGGAAGCTGAAAGACCCAGATGGAGAAGTGGACACATGCTGTAGCATCTGGAGTGAGCAGCCAGTGGGGCATCAGCAGGAAAGGTTCCCTAGGTAACACCCAGAGAAACTGTTTGCTCCCCACTCCTGCGTCTCCAAATGATGATGTTCCTATTGATCAGACAGTGGGGTGGAGAGGAGGAGGCTGGCTGTGCACTGCCAGCCTGGGATGCACAGAGCTGGAAATAATGTGTTTAATACTCAGGTTTTTGCAGCTTGGAGTCTAACCTGAGAGCAGCAGAGCTAGACTGAGGAGTAAAAATATGGTGATGTGCTCTGAGACGGGAAAAAGGGGGATACCTGTAGATGTGATAGAGACAGCCCTGCAAATCAAACCTGGGTGCATGGCTCTCCAGGGAATGCTGGGGGTTCTCCAGGGAATTCTGCCAGCAGGAATGAGTTTTCTGTTGCAACAGGGCTGTGCTACTCTGAGTGCCTCCTGCACTGATCCTGCCCATGTCTGTTCTGATCTCTGCTTCGTTAACCAGTTCTCAATATGCTCATAGTGATGCCTTGGTTAAAGCAAACCAGTGATTTAATTCTTGGTTTCACTTCTAAGTTTTCAGTATTACAAGGACATTATAAGTCCTATTAAGCAGAGCAAAATAAGCTTTAGCCTGCACGTTAGTTTAGCCACAGTGAGTTACCATATAAATGAACAGTTCTGAAATGTACCCAGCTCTTCCACTGGATTTATGTTTCAGCACATATCACACCATAGATTCAACAAACATAGATCATTTTAAATGGACAGCTATGTACAAAATTATTATACAGTGTTATTACAAACTTGAGAAATAAAGCTCTGAATTTTGAAAACACAGTACTGCACAGTCCCAGTTTTAAAGCCAAAGTAACATGATTCCACACGTTCTGCAGCTTGGACACAGACTCTCGAGTACAAGCAGCTGACAATGGAAGTCAAACCCAGAGATTTACTACAGGATAAACTGAAAATGTGTCCAATAGAACACTGGAAAACCTCTTCCTTTTGCTTTAGTGAGAGAAGCCAGAGCCCTGGCTCTCCAAAAATTGATGGTTGCATCAGCAGGTGTGACAAGACTACTTAAGACTACTGATGCACTTCAACTTAATTGCACATAAGCATCATGTAGGGACCAGACACTGCTTATATGGCCATATGCTTAGTAAAACAGAAAATACATTTTCTTTTACTTGCTTTTTTCCCCTGTAACCAATTTCCCTTGCTCTAAGTGATTGAGAGTAAAAATACATTTGTCTAATCTGGGTCTTGGACCTGGTCCAATATAAATCATCAGCGGGCAAGGAGAAGAGGGACTTAACACACCTCCACTTGTGATGGTACAGCCACTGCTTAATTTATACCCTTAATTTAGTTGAGGCACTGCTGTTTTTAACACTTCTTCAAGGGCTAGCCACTGCAGTCTGTTCTTGGGCCACACTCAGCTGTCACTTCAAGAGGAGTTTGGCCCAAGAGCAGGGTGAAAGCCTTGGCTTCCAGGACAGTGGGTGACAGGTCTGACCCTTCCACCACCACTATGCACAGAGCCATCCCCTGTCCCCACAGGTGCCCAGTGCACAGGCTGAGGGGTCCAAAGTCTCTGGGGAGGCTCTTTAGGTCCTGGGAGGGGAGTGAAAGGCTGCATGAGGAGAGGCTGTGGGTCTTCATGGGGCAGAAGTTGTCCATGGTGGCATTTCATTGATGCAGAACCTGGAGTCTCAGAAGCTGGCAGCACCCCAGGGACGCATGAGAGGTTCTCTCATACCTTCTGCCTTGCCATGACACCTGCAGGAAGAGGGGGAAATGCAAATCATTTGCAACTGTGAGTAAAAGTGGTGTGGTTTTGCATGCATGTGTATGTAATGGTTGAGGTGCTACTAGGGAAATCAGTTTCATCTGTTCCTCAGATAACCTAAAAACAGGTACTTTGATGGACTTAATAAAAACCTCATGTTTCCAGAACCAATCTTGAAACTCCAGAGTTTGGGCAGCTTTGCTTTAAAGTTTAGTTCAATAACATATATCCTTCTAGGTATTAAATTGCTGAGGTAACTAAATCTGGAGGATTTAGCAGGACTGTCAGAAGGATGGGGCAGCACACTGCAGCCTGTCTCACTCCATAACTGATTCAAATACCATTTCTGAAGGCAGACATGGAGGCAAAGGGCTAGCAGGAAGATGAGCATTTGATTGATGACATTCTCACAGTCTATTTAAAAACTGCCCACAGACAATACGGGTCCGGAGAAGGGGAGGTGAAGCATCTGTCCCTCAAGAATGAAAGGAAATCCCTTCTGTGTCTTTGCAGGGGAAGGTTGATGTATCACTGTGCCATGTGCATGTCATAGCTGCCCTTCTGCCTTTTCCCTCCCTCCTTGCCAGGCTGTGGTCTGTACTCCTGCTTTGGTTTTCCTTTTATTTTCTAGGGAATAAATCAAGCAGGTTTGTGAGCAGGGAAATTGCTAAAGTCCAGTTGCTGAAGCCCAATTGCTCATGGACTTTTGCTTTCAAGGCTTTTCTTCCCCCTAACCATTCCAAGTGACACACAGAGGGGAGGAAAAGGGGAGCTGCACAAACAGACATGAACATTTGTCTCTAGGAATTCTCTAGGGTTTAAGGCAGGTACACTCAGAGCAGCTCTCTTGAGTTCAGGTGTTTGTACAGTCTCTCCTCTCTTGTACTGTCACCTTCATAAAATGATTCTTTAAGCTCTTTCTGGACTTGGTTGGAAATGAGTTGAGATGTTACCAGGGTGCACACAAACAGTGTGACCACCAATGCCTTGACTCCAGAGGAAAAACAGCTAAACCATTTCTTTCAAGAACATGAAGATAATGTGGAATGCAGCTCTTTAGATGTGAGAGCTGACATTTAAAGACATTATTACAGAAATTGCTGCATAACAAGATATGGTCAAAGTGAGGCAAGAATTCAGTAGCTGATTACAGTCTCTTACTGCTCTGAAATATTATCACGGAGTCTCAGGCTGTTCCTGCCCTCTGCTGCTGTCAGGGAAGCTCTAAAAACTCATAAGGGCTTTGAGTCTTGATCCCTGCAGCTGGATCTGCACAAGAAGGAAGAAGATTTCTGTGGCTTCATGAGACCCATTAACTTCCACATCAGCAAATCCACCAGAGAAAGAAATAACCTGTACCAAAAGAGAACTAGTGGGGACCTGAACAGACCATGTATGCTTGGGACAAAACCTAAAATGTAACAAAAATCAGGTGGAAGATCCTAGGAAAAAATACTGATTGCTAACACTCCAGGCTTGTTGAATGTGTCTTACCAAGAAGTTCTGTCTTATCTGTCTCATCAAGACAGGAGCTGCATTTGGGAGAGGAGGCTCTCTGGCAGGAGACTAAGACAAGCAAATGGGTTTTAGGTTCTGCTGCCCTTGCTGTGTGACATACAGGAGCAGAAGAGGAAAAAGAGAAGTGCAGGTTTCAAGGTGCAGCTCATTGCTGTCCTCCTGACATCAAATCCCAGGTAGGCTCTGCTGGTGCAATGCCTGCCTGACTTCATAAAGGTCCTGTGTGCCCATGCATTTGTCTGTGCTGCATTTCTATCTCTTCCCAGGACAAAACAAAACTGTGTTTCATGTATTTTTTTCAAACATGACTTTTTTTAAGCCTGTATGCTTAAAAAATTGAGTTAAGTTTAACTGGTGGTTCCAGCTGCCCTTCCAATGCAGCATGTGCTCTGGCCCTGGTGTACTTCTCACCTATGCTCCATTGCTAACATTTTCTGTTCCTGCAGGAAATCTTCCTTAGGATTTTTAAACCAACAGAGCTACTTGCATTTCATGTACTCCTATGGTACTGCAAGGAAAGGGCCAAAAGGAGGGCAGGAGTAGTGAGGCTGTAACTACCCAAGGTATATCCCATTTTCTCTTGCTAGCAGTGATGCTCCAGGTGCAGGAACAAAAGCAGCCCTGTGGGGAAATCCTGCACAGATTCCTCCTGTGTCTGTGCAGGAGCAGGGCTCCCAGCTGGGCTCCCAGCCCCAGGGAATGGGGATGCCGGACAATAAATACATTCCTTTCAGGAAACAAGACAAAGAGATTTGATGATATTGATTTAGTTCATAAGAGATGCTCATCAGCATGGAAAGGACAACGTGTAACTATGCAATTTCAGTACAGTGGGGGTTTCACTTGTTTATTTTTCTTGCTTTTCTTTCCACTTGCTGTAAAAACAGGGGAAGTTTTGCAAATGGAAGTCTCACCCTAGAATTCCTTTTGAGGGGCAATTGTATGTTGCCAGCATATGTGAAGGATGCAGGGAACTTGTGTGCAACTCTGGAGTTGAATTTAGCTTTGAGTGGGAGCTGGTATCTTGCCCCAGCTTGTATTTGCCCCTGGGTCCAGTATTTTATTCCCTTTTCCAGATACCCATATTTAAACAGTGCTATAGAAAGTGGCTACCCACAAGCAAACCAAATGTTCTTTGCTGGAGGTAGGTACTGAAATTGCATTTTTACAGTTTTTGAGAAAATAATGTGATCAAAGCAAGGACTTTGTTCATCACATGAAGTCTGATTGTTTGGTTAGAATAATGGCTTTTAATTATCTGCAGGGAGAAGCAGTTTGGCTGCTGCTGACACAGAGGACAAACATGTGGGCTGTGACCCTGTGTGGAGTGGAGATCAGCACTGACTCCACTCAACACAAGATCAACACCCTGGAGAGTAAAAATCAGAGTAACAAATTCATTTCACATGTGTTTGTGATTAGACACAAAGACAAAAAGCTCAGGTGATATGCTGAATACTGATTAGGTCTGTGAAGTCCCAGTGCTGTGGTTAGTTCACAAAAAAAAATTATCTTTGTGAGTTTACATACCTCATTGTGCCACACAATCTTTTTTTGTTTTATTATCTCCAGAATCAGTCTCAACCTCTGCTTTTGGACAAAAGAGAGACACCAAATATATCTGATCATGGCAAGGCCAAGGTAACAACAGGGAACTTTTCATGATGAAAATACTGTCTAGTAGCAGAGAGGTCCCTAAGAACACAGAATCTTTGACTGGTTTGGGTTGGAAGGGACCTTAAAGATCATCCTGTTCCAACCCTCTTGATGCCATCCCTGGATGCCCAGGGAACTCTGTGGCTTTTGCAGGCTGGGGTCAGTTCTTAAGCCAGAAGTCCTAATTTCAGGCGTCAGGAAGCATTGCCAGGTCTGGGAGCATGGGATGCTCCCATTGCTGCAGCTTCTGCTCCTCAGATGAAGCAAGTTCAGGAACCAACATTACAGGAAATAACTTCTCATTTGTGGCTTGTTTTTAACCAGTAGCATGTTTAGAAATGTAAATTACTACAACCCTGGGGCATGCTGCATTAAAAGGGTAAGTCCCTCTGTGGTAGCTGCTCAACCTATGCTGTCTTTCTCAGCAATGGGTATTCAAACCCTCCCTTCCTTTCTCCTTGAAAGGAAAAACATCAAGCATTGGTAAAAAGAGACTTTCCCATTTGCCTGCCCATTTGTTTATCTCGGGATCTTGCAGGAAACAGGCTTTGGAAAGGATATTGTAAGTTCTAAAGGCTGACAGACCCATCTGTCTTCCCTATGAGGCATCTCCAATTTGGGATTAAGGTACCCACCCAAGGCTGGCAGGATCTACAGGACCTGGACACTCTTCCCAGGTTTGGGACTGGCTGAGGATTTTGGTAAGGAGAGGGGGGCCTGTGTGGCTCCAGGAGCTGAGCTCCCTCCCAGCCCAGCAGGGCAGCCCAATGGAGGATGGATCCTTGGTGGCAGCATCAGCAAGATGCTCCTTTCCAGTGACTGACCTTTCCCCTCCCTCTGCAGAGATGGTTCGAGGGCCTGATGTTTAGAAGCACCTAAAGCACCCCTGGGGCAGGCTGTCAGGCAAAAGTGCTGCTGCAATGAGGGGAAAAACCAAACAAGCCCAAGGCAGCATGGAGGCTGCTGCTTTTATGTGTTTATAAGTAGTTCAGAGGGGTGATTGCTGATTAAGTACTGAGTATTAACTGCTCTTAATCACTGCTCTGGAGCCTAATGGAGCTCTTGTTTGCACATAACCGTGCCTGTAGCTGTCTTTAGCACATTGACAGATGTGCTTATTGCCATCTTTACTGCATATGTGTAATGGGCTTTTGAATTATTGATTCATCATTACTCCTTTATAAACTACTTATACATGTCACCAGAATGAACTATGCTTGTGTTTTTCTTTTTAAAGCTCTTTCAGGTTTGAAAAATATAATAGTTGCATGAAACAGTGTGACTCCAGGGGCAGGGGGCACTGGGCCTTGAAGTGGAAAGAAACAGGTATACACAAATATATCAGGAAGGTTCCCATATTTAAGTCAGTCCCTGAGAGCTATTTATAAAATAACCTACCTGAGTAGCTTTTGCTGTGCCTCTTCTTCTTCTTCCTTTTCCCTGATGGCCTCTGCTTTTCCCTGTCACTGTGGGTTTGCTCTGGGGGAAGTGTTGCTGAGCAAGAGGAGTCAGTGGCCGGCTCCTCTGAGAAGGACTTGTCTTGAGAGGTGTCCAACAGCGAGTCTGTACCAGGGTCTTCATTTTCTTTTGTCATTTCTTTAGACTCTGCCTGCTGAGCCTCATGGCAGGGAGCAGGCTGAGCACTGTCTGAGCCATCAGCTGGGCACTCCTTGTCCTGGCCTCCTGACATGGCCCCATTAGTCCAGCTGAGTTGGTCTGGCAGAGCAGGGGCTGCACTGCTGCTCACAAAACTTATCCTTGAGCCTATGTCAGCCACAGAGAAGCCAAGGGAGCCTCTCTCTGTGCTGGGCTGGAGGCTTTCCACGTTGTTTTTCTGCTCCATCCCAGGGCCCAGGGTGGTCTGAGTGGCTCCATCAGCTTCCACCACGCTCCCTGAGGGGCTTTTGGTCTGGGACTCCAGTGGCAGACTTCCTCCAGCACTGTTTGTAGATAATACCTGGCCTGAAGCTGAAGCATTTGTAACACCTCCACCTGTCTCCATCGGGGCAGTGGTTGAGGGAGGAGTGCTTTCTGAGGGATGATCATCCTTGTTTTGCTCAGTCTTGTCATCAATCTGCTTCCCTGCTGCTTGTGGATCCTTCATGCTCTGTCCTTTAAACAGAAACACACAATCAGCCACAGCTGCAGTTTCACCAGGAATCAGCCAAGATGGACCTACCCTGCAGAGGTTACAGGTCAGCAGCTGCCTGTGGAGGGAGCACTGACCCTAAAGCAGCTCCAATGCAGAGGCAGCACCAATTTATCCTCCCTGTACCTCCCCTCATTATATCTGTGTGGTCACCCCGGCTGGACTGCAGGCTCCAGCTCAGCAAAGCCCCTGATTTGTTTTCAGCAGGTGTTAATGTGTCTTTGCTACAAAATGGCTGATTTCCATGGAGGCTCCAGGACTTGCAAGGAAGCCTGAAAGTCTACAACAGAAGAGAGACCCTGCCTGTGAGGTCCTGGCCCAGGCTGGACTGCTGGCTTGGTGTGTGAGGACTTCAAGGCTGCCCATTAGCCAGCCTTAACCTGCCCTTGCAGAGCAGACCTAGGAGAGCCACGGACAGACCAATGTCCTTGGATTTGCCTAACTGCACTGACACTGAGGTCAAGAGACCAAAGAAAACCTAAACCCATGAGGCTGTCTCCTCACAAGCACCTAAAGGACTTGGGTACTTCTGCAAATAGGGTTTCTTATCTTTTTTTTAAAGGGTTTCTTCAGTCTCCCAAGTGTAGACTAAGATGGGATGCAGCAGTCTGTAAGACAGGAACACACTGTGCTACTGAATCTTGAGAGCATGCAGGGATAACAGCGGTGCCCCATCAGCATGGTGCCATGGCTGACACGTGGGTCAAGCACCTCAGAGGGTTTATCAACACAGATGCAGGCCCATGCTGCTCCAAATTCCTGCTAATTTTGGGACAGACCTGGCTACCAACAGCTCAAGGCTCTCTGCTCCTCTTCTCCTTGGCACTGGCTGCAAAACCTCCTTAAATAAAATGCCCCAAATGCAAACACAAAGGCTTCTGGCTGGTGCATGCTTGGCTCAGGCTCAGAGGCAGATGGGAATGAAGAGCTGCAGGTACAGTCAGGTCTGTGTCCTTACCAGACTGGCTCTCCTCCAGGCTCTCTGCAGATGAGGATTTAGGAGCTGCCTCTGACTCGTGTCTGTTCTTTGTCTTCCTCAGCGTGAAGCCTTTCCTGATGTCGGCGAGCAGGGCGTCGATGACACACACCTCCTCCTGCTTCATCAGCCCCTTCTTGACTGGGAGAGAGATGGGAGTTACCCCTGAGCCAGGCCAGCAGGAGCTGCAGGGATGCCACTGCTGGAGCTGCCTCCTGCTGCCCCAGCACAAGCAGCCACTGGCCAGGAGCAAGGCACCCACAGCAGACCTGGGAGCAGCTCCATGATCCCACAGCAGCGCCCCGTGATCCCACAGCAGCGCTCCATGATCCCACAGCCCTGCTCCATGGTCCCACAGCAGCGCCCATGATCCTACAGCAGTGCTCTGTGATCCCACAGCACTGCCCATGACTCACAGCAGTGCTCCATGATCCCACAGCAGCCCATCCTGGCTGAACACAAGGGATTTGCTCCCAAGTCTTGGTGCTACAGTCTGGCACCAGTGGCATCAGCTCTGCCTGGACAGATCCCTGGTTGTCCCGTGACCATGAAATATTCCCTGTTTGTTATCAATGTTGGTGGAATGCTTTTTTTTTTTTGGAGGAGGAAAAATAATTCTGATTTTTCTTTCCTCTCTGCTTCTTCCAATTGCATTTTTTAGTCTTTCATTTTCATCCAGCAGAAGGCATATTTAAGCCATATGCAAGATTTTTGGGACAACTGTGGTGAAGAGACACTATTCAAGTGTATACGAGGACCTTGGATGGTGGATAAGTCAAATGTTTCTTTTTAGATTTGGGATTCAAAAGTTATGTTTAGAAACTGGAAAAGTTAACTGAAATATTTAATTTGTGGTGATTTTCTTTCTTCTTTGCTGTTCAGTCAGCAAACCTAAAATTAACTTCTCTGCCCAGCTGCAACTGTGGAAAGTCAATTCTTAGCTAGGGCTGTAAGACACCTAAAAGCCTTTAGTCAGCCAGCACCTAGAAACCTACAAAATAAATTACCACTACTGGTCCATTAAAGCAGGACCACCAAAGAGCCCCTATGGCTCCAGCTCTATTTTTTGAAGCCATTTCAGATACTCACTGACTTTTCCATTTTCTCCCTTCTGTCTCTTGCCCTCTTCCTCTTCTAGCTGCTTTTTCCTCTTCTCTGCTTTGGCAGCTTGCTCCTTTCTGTCCTTGTTTTCCTGCAGGGAGGTAACAGTGGCATGAGAAGGTGGGGTAAAGAAGCCGATGAAGAGAAAGGAGATCTATAGATGAAGGAAGAGAAATTCTGGCTTTGTCCTGTGCAATAATTAAAATGGGCATTGGGAATAAGGGCTGCCATACCAAAATGGTGAGAGGGGACTGGGGGACTGCTGACTTGGCCAGGACTCTGCCACATCCCAGCTGGAGGTGGCAGTGGTGCTTTGCCTCACACAGCTACCTGCAGTGTGCTCACCTGCCTGATCTTGAGGTGAAAGTGGGAGACACTGAAGCCACAGTTTTTTTTTTTTCCACAAGGTGGCTTTTTTACTACATATCCCCCTTCTGAGCCTGTTTGCTCAGGTTGGAGCAAAGGGTTAAGTTTTGTAAGCCCCTTTCTCTACAACTTGCACACTTGGCCTAAAAGCATCTTTGTGATTGACTCTGCAGCTGAAGTTGCAACAGAATCACAAATCCCTGGTGTTTGGGCCAGGCCCAGCAGCACCAGAACCTCCATCCATGAGGATGTAGTGGAGAAGGGATCAGACACTACTTCACTGGGAGACCTGATGCCAAGTGCCAAAAGGAGGAGGCTGTAACCAGGATCCCCCCTGGACTGGGGTGCCCATCCCACTCCTGTCCATTGGAGCAGCTTCCATCTTCCAGGAAGGGATGCTCAGGATCCTGTGTGCAGGTGCCAACCTTCAGGGCTCGGATGAAGAGGTCTCTGAAGGTCTTCATGATGCTAAATATGTCCTCTAAGGACAACTTGCTTGGATCTTCACAGAGATAATTTGCAAGTTCTTCTCTCTTCTTTTCAATGGTATCAAATTCTTCTTCCAGCTTTCTGGAGGCATCAATGCTGTCCTGAAACACATTAAATGCACACTGTAAAACACCATCCAGAGGACAACGAGTGAAGTGCACTCACAGAGAAGGAATTAGAGCTTAGAGCAGGACTCTGGGTTCTGGCTTTTAAGTGCAGCTTTTGGAAAGCAGGTGGGAAGAAATTAAGATTTGCAGATGATCTTTACTCTTGGCAACTGTGCTGTGCCAGTTTACAGGGGTGTCATGAGCAAGACATGGACAGCCCCATGCAAAGCTTAATCCCAAGGAAACGGCTTCACTCTGATGATCCACAGAGAAGGTGACCATCTTCTCTTAAAGTGAGGAGTCACACAGGAGCATGGACAGAGCAGTTGGGGCAGCATCCTAAGAAATGGCCTCACCAAAGGTATCTAGGTTTGGGGTGCAGCTGGCCACTGCATATTTGGGTTGTACAGCATTGCATCTTATTTCCAAATCTGAGAGCATGTCTTGTGGCAATATTTTCTTCCCTCTCACGAGGCTCCTGAGCTGCAGATGTACCATGCAGCACCCCTCTGTGTGTAATGGGGGAGATCTAAGGCAGCTCTGCTACTGACCTGGATGGGTTTCTCATACTGTTGTTTCACATCCTCATTTGATGATAAGACTTTCCGCTGAAGCTCCAGCAACTTCTTCAAATTGGTACCGGACTCGGTGCGTATAATGTCAAGATTAATTCTGAAATCACACAGAACCCTGCCATTAATTCTGAAATCAAACAGAACCCTGCCATTAGCTGACACTCCAGTATCTTGAGCTGAGCAAGGAGTGGACAAGTCTGAACTGGTGCTTTGGTCACCCCTTTGTTTCCCACCACTTCCCTGAGCTGAACCCTGTGCTCTGAACTCTCTATACAGACCAAGCTCAGGGAAAACAGCTTCCCCCCACAGCACTTACGGGAAGGCTGCCAGGCCTACCTACAGTTCTGTGTATTGGGAGATGAGTGCCAAAAAAAGCCCACCCCTTCAAAAGGCTGTTCTCCACCCACCATGCTCAGCATTAGTTCACTTCCCCTGCCTGGAGGGACTTCAGAAATGTCTGGGTAGCTGACCCTCACCAGCTCCTGCCACCACAAAGGCAGTGCACGTTTCAGAAAGGTCTGGGAGGCAGCTTTAACTGACTGCTCTCCAAATTTCAGTCCTAAGTGTTGCCAGCTGTAGTAGAATTATTATATATTAAAGGCCTTTCAACATTCATCAACCAAATCTTTCAGTTCAAACTATGTAAGATGCCATCTTGTTAATCTGTATACCAGCTGTGTGTGTCCTAATTTCTGGTACATTGTTGATGTGCATGGGATTTATTTTTGTTTTTAATTCAAAGGAAGTGACACACAATTTTACCCTGCTGCTTTTGAAACATATTCAAGATCCTTTGGCAGTTCCAGTAGGTCCTTGTGGCTGTTTTCTACTTCCTGAAGAGGAAGAGAGAAAGAAGTGTTATTTGGTGTGTGGCAGGAGCCAAGGGGAAGCTGGGGGGAAGACACATGGGCAGAAGTGTCCAGGAAGGATGACTGTGCTGTGTTCTGCTACTGCCCCCCTGTCTGTAGTTTGCACATTCAGAGAGGAAAGGCATTTCCCCTGGCTATAAAAACACAGAAGAGAACTGAACCCTCAGAAATACTCATAGTTCAAAGCAAAGCAGAGCTCTTCTTGAGCATGGAGGGAGGCAGCACTGTGGTTTGATGCAATCTGACACTTCCCACAGTCCCAGAAGGATATTAAAAGGCCTTGAGTCTTGCATTCTTTACTTTCACAGCTGTCCTTGCTGTGAAGCCACTGCCAGCTAAAGCGGGGCTTGAACATGAGTAACTGAAACCAAGGGACATTGATGAATGGAGGTGGCAGAGCAGAGCATGGAGACAAAAAGATAAAAACAGCATGGCAGGGAATAGGAGAGCCATGGGGGCCTGGAGAGAAGCATGAAAAGCCTGAGCACAGCCTGGAGGAAAAGGGAAAGTCCATGGAAAGGCAGAAAGGCTGAATGGGTACAGATGAGCCAGGACAGATTTGTGCTCTGTGGTTTGCAGCTGCTGATGTGCAGATTGCACAAATATGAAAGGAAGTTGCAGACACTGTGGGAAAAGATGCTGGAGGGAAGCAGATCAAATCCTAAAATAAGGAGTAGTGCCCACAAGCAGTCTCCACCAGAGTCACCAAAGTGATTCAAATCCTCCTGACTTGTGACACTCTGGGGTTTGCCAGGGAGGATGTGAGTATGAGCATGTGGCATTAGCCAACAGCAGGAGAAATGTTTCATCTGTGATAAAACCCTCCCTCTTCCCTACTGTGCAGGACTTGGCAGTGGTACCTCCAGAATATGGTGGAGCAGGCTAATGCGGGTTTGGTTGGCTTTGGTTTCTGTTAGTTTGAGTAAAGTGCTGATTTTAAAACCATCGGCGTCGCCCGTGTGGCTTCCCTGCAAGAGAGAAAAAAAGCAGATGTGACTCCTGTGTCCATCCAAATTACAACCCTAAAGGAGATCATTCACAGACTGTGATGGGGAAAGGAGAAGACAAAAAAAGTCCTTACGTAGTTCAGGAAGTTTCCAACTTTGAGAATCAGTTGACAAAAGACTGGCAGGCGATGACTGGTCAGAAGATCTGAAAAACATAAGGGACTTTTAAGCAAAAGCCTCTGTTACACCAGAACATTTCCTAAACTGCTTTGAAATTGGGATTCTGAATTCCACCAATCAAATCTGGTATTTTGGCTTTGCAGCCCAATGCCCAACCAGCAGAGAAGATGATTTCATGTTGATTCAGTTCCATGGGTTGTCAAAGTCTTTGTTGACTTATGTTTCTTTCTTTACATCTCGTCTCTCATTTCCTTATGGCAAATAACCTGCAGTGGGACCCTCCTCACTAACAGGAGTCAAGATCCAGCCTTCCTTGCAAGTTTCCCAGCGTGGGCAAGGGTGTAACTGGGCTGCAAATTGAATCTTGCCAACTTCATTTAGCTGTGCTGTGAAGCCAGTTCTGACTGCACTATGATCACCTGCCAGCTGCTAAAACCAGGCATGCTCACCCTGTTCCTGGTCTCTCATGGTAGAGGTGATTATTGACCAGGCATGAAGAGTGCAGTCCCTGTCCTTGCTCTTACAACAGGGTGCTGCAGTGCTGTGCTTTCTGAAGCACTCAGCTTTGAGGCAGGAGCAGCTCCAAAAGAACAACTGGGCTGCTGGGAAATCACTTTGGGGGAAGCTTCAATTCATCCCAGCAAACAGCTGCAATGCCAGCTGGAGAAACCCCCAGCAGGAGTTGGGGCAACTGGCCCTGTAGGACAGGTGACACTTGACAGTGCCAAGAAGAGTATATTGCTCTCAGAGGAGTGGGACCAAAGGTTTCTGCCACAGGAAGCCAAAATCTATTGCATAAACTTTCTGTGTACTCACCATATTGGAGCATCAGCAATTTATAACCCAAAATAACAACCTTTTTCTTCTGGTACCATTTCTAGGCAGGGAAATACTAAAGCAGAGCTGCTTTTGGGGGAAGTTTTCTGGCAGTAGAGAAAATTACTGTATTATGAATTTCTAATTTGGGAAATAATGCTGGATGAATGAATTAGCTGCAGCAGGGCCAGCTCTGCTGTCTAAATTCAGCTCCTTTGAAAGGGCTGATGAACTTCCAGCACTTCACCATTCAAAGTGTTTCAGGAGAATACATCTGCTGCAGAAAAAGTGGGATGAGGACGACAGAAAATAATCTTTGGTCCTGTTACGGGCTTTGACCATCAGTGAGATACCTAAAGTTGCACCCCATTTGCAGCAAACCAGTGAATGGACCACACAGGAGTTCTTTGGGGTTTGGGTAGTAATGCTGCAGAGCTCCAGGGGAGTTTCGTGGGGGTTAAAATTTCCTGTCTTAAATCAGAGCCAGGAATAAGCTCAGGTCATGCCTACCTTCACAGGCTCTGCGGATGGCTTCAGCTTTGGGCTGAATCATGTCCAGCACGACGGTGGTCTCTTCGCAGATCAGCATACACTCAATGCGCAGCTGGTAGCTGAGGGTGGAGATGGATCTCAGCTAAAGGCACTGGGATCCCAGCCAGCACAGCAGCCCCTTTCCCACATCACCAGCAAGCCCATGCCACCCCACAACATGCCAAGCACATCCACACCAAACCACTGGTGTGGCCTTGGAGGGAGGAGAGGGGCTGCTGCTGGCCCTGAGGACCAGCAGGGATGTGAGTTCTGCTGGTGCATTGTGATCAGCAAAGAGAAGGGTTTCCCCTTCTTGGCACTGCATTTGGCACTGCCTTTCACCAAGTTATGGAGCCTCCTTGGGCAGACCCAACCCTGAGCCTGAGCCAGCTTCAGCTGGTTCAGAGGGAGAGGATGTGCTGATCAGGAAGAGCCCTAAGGTTAACAGAGAAAGGGATAGCTCCAGGAAGGGGAAATCCAACAGTTACATCCATCAGTATTGGTCTGTGAGGCTCCTATAAAGAAGCTTAAACTTCCCAGAGGTAAATCAAGAAACAGATTGGGCTGAAGTTTACGACTAAAAACCTTACCTGGGAATCTGAAGGAGGAGAAGATAGAACTGATCTGCATTTGCTAGTTTTGATTTCTCTTCTTTGAAGGCCTTCAGGTTTTCTATCTAATGAGAAATAAAGAATCAAGACTGCGGGGCTGCTCTATGTGCTCAGCTCTGTGAACCAAGGGTGGTGTTTTCCTCCTGACCTCATGCTTTTCAGGCAGCAGCTTCAGCAACTGCTTCAGAACCTCAACATCAAACTTGGTCCGGTCCCCATTCTGGATCATGGCAGTCACCTCTTCATTGGAGCTGCAGGGAGAAGGAGCAGAGCCAGCCATCAACCAAAGACCACTTTCCAACTATCCCACACTACCAAGAGATTTATCTGTGCAAGCACTCTGTGCTTTCCCTAGTAAAGAATCACAATAATCCAAAGGGAAAGGGATCTCCCCACAATTAACTTAGAATCAGGACCTGGATCCCTGCTATGACCCAAATCTTATTTCTGGCCCTGATCAAATGATTCAAGGACAGAGATGAATCCTGCAACTAAGACCCTGTCTCGGAGTATTTTTTTTTATCTTAAAAGAAAATTGAACTCTTCATTTGTCCATTGGCCCTGATATGAGGCGGGATCTGACCTCCAGGTGTGTCTCACAGTCTGTGTCACCCTAAGAGTCTGTGCCATGACTTTATCTGTAAAATGGAGATCTAACTCCTTTGCCAACATATGGGGAAGTTATATGTAAAAACATAATTAAACCCCTAAACTCAGTATTTTAAAGACACTGTAGAACAAAATGGGGAATGTTCAGATGATTTAGTAGCATGGATCACCAAATCACTTTGCCTAGAAGAGATTTCGTGAGGACCTTCCAGAAACTGCAAAACCTGCTCAAAGTTCTGTCAACTGTCACGAAAACTGGCCATATCTTACCATTTAAATTGCTTCAAAAATATGTTCAAATTGAGACTTTTCTTGGAGTCCAAAAATGTGATCTTCATTAAAGAAAAAGAAGATATCTCATATTAGACGAGCTGTCTGCAGGGATCTTTACTCGAAAAAACGAGGGGCTCTCCTCACCTCCTTCGGCTCTGCCTTCACTGGTGCTGCTGTCTTCTCCTTGGGGGTTGGCTGTGGGAAGCAGAACAGCTGCTCAATGCTGCTGTAGTTGGGCTCTATCACCTCCTCACTGCTGCTGCTCACAGAAGCCCACATGGAGTGGCTCTCTGAAAGAAAGGAAAAGTGTTCAGACTGGCTGCAGGTAGAGCTGAGAGCTCCTGACACCTGGGACAAGGTGAGCTGCTAGCAAGGGACACTCTTCAGGATGTGAATGAAATAAGGAGACATATTATTCTCTTAATATGACATATTTATCCGTATTAGTGGACAAATGGTCATTACTGAGGAGGGGCAAGTGCCACAGGTGAGATCCAAAGGGGCTGAAGGGAAATTAAACCTGCTAGGGGAAGACAGCACTGGGCACACAGAGGCTGTGCAGCCCCATCCCTCCTTGTAAAACTGTGCTCTCCTCCATGCTGGGCAAACTGGATCAGCATGACAAGGACCTCAGACATTTTGTTTCTAGTCCCCTGGTTGATATTATTTTTGCTTCCTTGCATCCTAACAGAGGGACTGGGCACAACTTGAACATTTTCTCACTGTGTCCTTCTCCATTTTTCATTTTATACTCAAGTCTCCTTGTATAATGGTGGCTACAAGACTGCTTGAATTAATTTCTACTGCAATTTCTTGTATCTTAAAAAAAAAAAATCATCACCCTAACATGCCTGTAGAAGCCTCTACTGCAGTAATCCCAACATTTTACTGCTCTTGTGATTGAAGACATGCCTTATTTAGATTTCACCTCTGCCTACTTTCATGCAGTGGATGCCTTGCTTGTCTAGGACAAAGCTGACACAGCTTCTCCAAGCTTCTTCTCACATTTCATGCTCCACTTTGAATCCACTAGTAGAGGGAAATGTAACCCAAAAATCAAGAGATATGTGATGTGATCCTCACATGCACTCCTACTCATGACTTTAATATACCCAGAAACAAGCACAGATGAGCTGGGCAATAAAAGTCTGGGGAGCTCAGATCACAGCCTGATCTAAGGCACGTCATAGTGATTACGAAAACATTCCCATCCCTTTCTCTTCTTTTAAGTTCAAAATATTTTAGTTATAAGCAAGCTATTCCAAAGCACTAATTCAGGTGGAATAGTTACTATTACATTAGTAGTTTCATGTTACTTTTATATCAGCTCTGTAGGTCAAAAGTAAAGGAAATCAGGGAAGTTCTGTATCTAAACGGAGTCAACCACATCTGACAAACTTTAAGATACTATTTCTTCCCCTGGGAAGCAAAAGCAGCAGTGTAAAACACCCCTAAAGCAGCAGTGATTTTATGCCAGAAGTACCCACCTCTCACCACATTGGAGGGCAGCTTCTGCCAGTTCAGCTTCTTCATTCTCAGCGTTGGTGTCTTCACCGTCTTGTGGGGGGGCCTGCCCAAGCCCAGGGGGCAGCTGAACTGGGAGGCCACCACGGCTTCTATGTGATCTCCTGGCATGCCAGGAAGGAGGGGTGGAGGGGGAGGGATGCCACCCATGCCAGGTAATGGAGGTGGAGGGGGAGGGATGCCACCCATGCCAGGTAATGGAGGTGGAGGGGGAGGGATGCCACCCATGCCAGGCAGTGGGGGTGGAGGGGGTGGGATGCCACCCATGCCAGGCAGTGGAGGTGGAGGTGGTGGGACACCACTCATGCCAGGTAATGGAGGTGGAGGAGGAGGAATGCCTCCCATGCCAGGCAATGGAGGTGGAGGAGGAGGAATGCCCCCCATGCCAGGCAATGGTGGAGGAGGAGGAGGAGGGGGTGGAGGGGGAGGGATGCCAGGGAGTGGAGGGGCTGGGGGTGTATTTGTCATGGGGGATGTGGGGGTCATGGCTGCTGTGCCAGAGGGTGGAGGTGGTGGGGCTGGAGGTGCCGGGTTGGGAGCGGTGTTGGAGGGAGGGTTGGATTTCTCTGGCAGGGCACAGCAGGCTGTGAACTGGCAGGATGAGATCTTCTTTTCGTTGTCCAGCGGCCCTGAGGGTGTTGCTGGTGCCCTGGTGGGGTTTGCTGACCCCACTGCACACCGAGCTGCCCGTGCACACGGCTCTGGCTCAGCCTGGGCAGCTCCAGCTGCGCTCCCGGACAGGCGGTGCTCAGCTCGCTTCTGCCTGCTGGGATGTTTCTTGATAGACAGCAGCCTCTCAATGACTTCTTCAACTGTGTTCCCTTGGACTAGAGAAAGGAGTCAGGGTCAGGGAAGGGAACAAGGCCCACAGTTCATCCTTTTCAACCCTCACCAAGCAGTAAATCTGGAGCCATGGAGAGTCCATTTCCTGGTGTCACTTTACACAACTACACTTTTGGCTTCTAGGCAATTTCCTTCCCATAGCACGCCTGCCAGCAAGACAGGCCAGCACCAGTGGCAGGATGCCAGTGAGGACAGATTCCCACTGACTCCCCTGAGCCAAAGCTCAGGGATTAACCATTAAAACAAGACTGGGAATCCCAAGCCCACTGCTAAATGTGGCCACCCACCGGGATGAAGCTTATACAGAAGGTATAACTTTGTCTCACTTCTGTTCAGCTCTCACCAAGTCCCACAGATTATTTCCTGCACACTGGGAAAAGGCTTTATGGGACAAGGGGAAACAAGAGGAGTGAGCAAGGCTGGATGGATGTGTCACTCTTACTGTCATTGGCGAGTAAAAGGGCTCTGTTCACTACAGCATCCAAGGACTCCCAGAGCAGGAGGCTGGAGTGATGAGAGGGCTCCAGGTGCAGCAGGCTCTGCAGGATGGACAGCAGCTGGACAGAGACTGGAGAGCGGCTCACCTGGAAGACACAGCAGCTTCTGTCACAGCCAGGCTGGCTCCCAGCAAAGGGGATTAACTTGGCCACTGTGCGAGGGGCACCCCATGTGAGGGGCAACTTACTTTGTTGAAGAGAGATGAAAAGACCTCATGATGATCATTCATGTTTATGCCATCACATATCCTTAATAATTCCTCATCATCCTCTATTTTGAACTCCTCAAATGTGTCACACTGGATAAGCAGATCCTCCTCCTCGATGTCTCTGCAATATTACAGCATTTGTTTTCAGTGGAGAGCCCTTCACTCATTTTCAGATTACTGTTTTTGTTAAATGGCTTTTATCTCTTTGCCTCTCAGACTCAGTCAGTTGGTGTTGAAAGCACCCAACTCTGCCTGATTTATAAAGGAGGAGATGCCATCAGTGCATCCTTTCTTGAACTGAATGTACCTCTTCCTACAACCAACAAATACAAAGGAATGGGACTTCTCATGGCATAACCTGGCCCAGCACAGGCTTGCTATGGAATTCTCCTCAGAGCTGTAACAACAGAGTGGCATTCTGACCTTTCTGAAACAAGGCCACCTCCTTTATTTTTTTAAAGTCAAGACTAATTGAAAATATTCCAGTGATGTTTCTATTCGAAAAACCTCCTTCTCTGTTATTCAAAACTGGATATAAAAAAACTGACTTTTTCAGCACTCTCGAGACCACTCAGTGTTAGAATTTTAGAGTTGCTGCTCTAATAAAAGATCTTCTCTTCCCTAATTTTTTGTGATGTTGGATAGAGCAATTTCAGTTACATGGATAACTGCAACTCACATAAACTGCATTCTAGAATTTATCACAGATGTTTCTGATCGAACATGATTTTTAAATTACATTCAGATATGCATTAGTAAATTGTTTTAGCTGGAGCCTCTGGGACCAACAGCAGCAGTGAAGGGGTGCTGAACACAGTGAGCTGCTCAGTGAGCCCAAAGCACTGCTTCAGATTCAGTCTGGAACAGCCTCAATGAGGACACTGCCACTCCATCTGTGCCCAGAGCCTCTGTGCATGCCATCTGTGCCAACAGCTGTCCCTGTGACACTGTGGTTGGCAAGAGCATCTTAACACTGGCCAGATGCCTCTGGCTCCCATGGAATGGGTGCACAAGCATGGTCCACTCCACCCAAGCACACTGCACTTCACACAACAGAAGACTGGCTAAGTATTAAGTTTCCAAAGCTACTTCACTGTGAATCTCATTAAAAAAAAAAAAAAAAAAAAAAAAAAGTAGAGATCCTTACCTTAGCTTGTCTAAAACATCCAACAGCTGAAGCCCTGGCAGGTGAAAAAGATAGATATAGTTGCATAATGACCCACTTGGTATGATCTTTATAAATGTTATGTTCATAAACACTTTTTACAGAGAGAAAAAGTGAAAATATCTTCAGATGGATCTATCAAAGTGGGTAGAGTCATCTGGTAAATGATGAGACACCACAGCACACATCTGCAGCACCTGTGTGAACCACTGCACAACTCCCCTGGGATTGACACAGGCACTTCTGAGGCACGAGGGACCTCTGTCCAAGTTAGATATCTAAAATCAGTCTGCTACTGTCAAATGTTCCTTGATCTCCATGGAGAGAAATGGAGCCCAGGCTCCCCAACTCAGATGCACCCAGCATGTGAGGTGAAGCCCAACAATGGTAGCTAGGAGCCTGGGATTCTAGCAGTTGGAAAGTTCTGAACCATGGGAAAGCCTCTGTGGCTCAACTGAGTAGACACAGAGTGAAGAAACTTTATCAACTCTCACAAATAGCTGCAATATATGGAAATGTGGCCATATAATATGGTTGGCTATAGAAATGCTCTGAAGAAGCTCAAGTGATACAGTGCTGATAGGATTCCAGAAAAGATCAAAGCTATGGGAAAGCAGCAAAGTAAAAAAAAAATCTGTTGACAGAAAGGCTGTTGAGAATAAAGGTCAAAAGAAAGAAGAAAATTAATATTTGAAGTTTTGCAGTGTTAATATTTTGCAAGCTCCCCAGCTTCTTCAGGCACCTTATGGACACATGTGAAAAAACCCCATTTGGTAACAGACTTTCTCCAGGGAAAGGTGTAACAAGCATCCTTACCTATGAACTCGTTTCTGATCTGTGTCCTTGTTCTTAGCTCCTCTTTGCCCAGGATGATGGCATTGATGGCACTGAGCAGTGTCACCATGTAGGGCACGTTGTCTGTGTTGGACAGCTCGTTCATGATGATGCTGAACCGGTACTGCTGGTTCTTCACACTCTGAGGGAAACACAACTGA